AACCTGCCACTCATTTGAGCACAGAGGCTCAACAGTTCCTTCGATATGTCGACCTTCATCACATGAAATTTCTCTCTAAATATAATGCATTTGCTATTTAATCCCATTCTGATTGTTTGATTCATTCTGCGAATGATACCCATATCTGCAGATTTTTAAACCCTTTTATGGCACTACTTTTGCTTTGCTGCTGGTGCTACGAACTTATCAGCTTAAAGTGTTCTGTTCAGGAGAATGTGTCGAATTCTTGTTCAAGGGATGTGGAGGAAATCAAAATCGTTTTGCCTCAAAGGAGGACTGCTTGCAGGGATGCAAAAGTCTAAGTGAGTCAAACAAAGAACATATCGTTCACTGTTGGTTAATCCTTTTCAACTTGAGTTGGTTGTTAGCTGCTGTATTATGCTGCAGATAGCTATGCGAAAGTTATCACAAGCATTATGGGTGAATGGCAAACACATTGCCCCTAGTGGGAATCGAACTCGACCACCGCTTTTCGGGCAGCTGTGCTATCGATTACATCAATATCAACTTATACGAGTGGGTGTTGATACTGTAAGCTATCCTTCCAATATACGGACCGCTAACTTCTAAGTGGTGTGTTGGTTTGATGGGTTACAAGGCTTCTGTCAACCAGGGGGTGAGAGTGTAGAAGGAAAAGCAGACGTTTTTGTGGTAGTGGGACTAAGCCTTTTGAAGGAGGTAAAGAAAGCGGAGATTCTGTAATAGTGCGCTTGTGTGAGAGCTCCCAGACAGCACAACAAAACGCTGAATTGCCTAGCCTCATGGTTGACAGAAGGTTTGTATGTATGTGTATGTAAGTATGTAGTCCGTCTGTCCGTCTACAAAATGAGTGATAAGGAATGATTGGGGCATCACTTCCAAATGTGATTCTTGGTGGTTCCAATTTGATCTATGGAACAGAAAGCTTAGCATGTACCTTTAAATTCGACAATTCGCCAGTACAAGACCAAAGACTATAACTAAGCACTGATCGGTGCACTGATCGGTTTAAGATTGATTATCTATTGAGATTCGATTTTGAGATACACCCTCATCGATTAGCTAAGGTTTCCTAGCGGGTTCCTGGCCGTCTCTTTGCAGCCTCACTTCCTCTGGAGACAAAGAGAGGAGAAGAGAAAAGCTCCTCTGGACCACACTCCTACGATTCTTCCAAGAACAGAACTGGACGACCGGACCGTCTAAAGCCTGCTAGGCGTCTAGCATCGGAGGGAATTTGAGCTCTAGCGAGCTGTGACCGTAACAACAGCTACAGGCGCGACAACGGCGGAAGCAGCTGAAGCCCCCTTATCGCTAGCGGCAGATATTTATCTTCCGAGGGCAGGGCTTAGCAAAATCATGACCTGGGTCATGACGCGCCCACAAGTGCTTCTCCTGATTTTGCCTCAGTGTCCTACCCGTGGAACGTGAAATTGAGTTTGATAGTTGAGGTTGAGTAGATTGGAAATTAGTTAATTTGATAAAAGTGCAAACGATCAACGAATTACGAACATAAGAGAAACGAAACAGTATCCAATTCTTCAAATGGTTAGCAATGGCTACGGTAAATGACCCATTGAATCAGTTCTAAGTACTGTATGCGGAACCGATCTAGATTTTTCCTTGTTCTAAGAGTTGTATCCACATCACCTGCAATGTCGGGTCTTCGAGGGTCACAGCGAGTAAGCGGTCGGTGTTCAGCACATTCAGAATTGAAGGATTTGAAAGAATTGGTTTCGTTAGATTTCAATTGAGTTCTCCATTCAGTTTTTAATTCTATAGTATCTGCCTCTCTTTTTCGAGGTTATTGATTTGCTTGATCACAAACTTTAAGAGCTTATCCACTCAAAAGTCGATACAATGCATCGTCAGAGAATTCCATATGAGTAATGATAAAGCACCAATCTTCCAGTTATGTGTTACCAGTTCTATATGATGATTATTTCATCGAGGAAATCCTCCAGAGCGAGAAAAAAATTTAAACAGATTTGAGTTCGAATCCTATGGTTACTGATGTTACGACTGAGCTGGAACAAAGCTATCGAAACGAGCACTGCTAAATTTGATGGCTCGATAACTGAACAAAACTGAGTTGTACAAATAATGAAATTTATAACATTTCATTGGAAAAATTGAACTACTACCAAAAATTGAAAAATTGAACTACTACTAAGGATGAAGATTCTTGAAAACAATCTCAAATTGACTTTGAGCGTTCAAATTTGAAAAAACTGACTGACGAGAATGAAAATTCTCGGGACAGATTGGAAATAAAATTGGCTTACAACACTTAATTACAGGAGTTTTAAGCCGGATTACTGATTGTGAGTTGAGAATTGGCATATTGCGACGAAATCCATTCACATTGAGAATTTGAATGTGCAAAAAGCACTGCGATGCCCCTATTTGAGAGGAGTAGCAGGTCTTGGAAGTTGTACTAGAGTCAGATGCGCTGCCCTTTTAAGGCATCAATCACAACGATCGCGGAGCTGCGCTTTCTGTCGCGAAAGCTGTGACCTAATACAGTCTCAACGATTACCGTCGCAAAATGCTGCACTGTTGGGATGAACGTGCGGATTTTTCTGTCCCTCATTGGAAGTGGATTTCGGAGATGGCGCCGGTTTCGGGTGTTCTTGCGTACATCCTTCTTCTGTGAACTTGTGGCAGTGTGGTTCTGGCAGGGAATATTTCCTTTAATCCATCCACGCTTCTTCAAGATGCTTTCGGCAGTGCCAGCGTCTACCGTGTGCAGGTCACGATGAAAGGAGTTGATCGGTTGAGTTTTGACCAGGAACTTTCAAGAATTATTTCTGATTATTCTGAAGGGATGCTCATCAGGCAAGGCGTATTTTCATAGTTTGGGTTGGAGATCATTCTTCCATTTTCTTCTTCCTTCCTCTTCTTGAAAATACATTTGGGATACGAAGCAGCAGTTGACAATAAGCTGATGAAGAGAATACATAAATTTTGCGTCCAAAATTGAGGATCGGATTGAGCAGTCAAACGTTTGAGAATTGGAAAGTCAGTATTCTTCGGTGAGTTGAAATGTAAAGTATATACAGCTGGGTCTGGTCTTCATGGAGCCCAAATCATTCGTGTGACCGAGGATGCGCTGGATCTTGTGGGGCATCAACGGCAATTCTTCGCGGTCCCTGATGGTGCGCGACTCCTGCCGCGATGACCGCTGTTGAGTCTGGATGACTAAAAATTGTTGCTTGATCTCTAACAGAACTAGGTCACTGAAGTACGATTCTGCAGTTACGTCGATCATCGCCAGCAGACCCATAATCTTGCGTCAGTGAGAGAAATCGCCAGCGGCTGCCGTGGCACTAACTAGTACAAATACACTACGCAAAGCGGTTGGAACTCACCACCCTAGTTTTAAACAGAAAGTTCTTTCTTCAGAGCTTGTTGCGTCTGCAAACACAGAGATTGTTCCATTTTCCCCCTTAGCGACGTAAATTGGTTCCAAGCAGGTAGTGTTCAATGCCAAAAATCTCAGCACCAGTACACGGCCGCAATCGCAAGTTTGTTATAAAAGACGAAGAAACATCGCGCAAAATAAGACGACAGGGCCACAGAATGAAGTCCAGGACCCTAATCTCTCCAAGTGAGTAATGCCAACGGATTTATATGCGCGTTGGCACTTGCTTCACAAGATCAAGGCGATAAGCGTTGCGAAGAATACATTCTTAAAGCATCGAGAACAAAACATAATCCTTATCAGATGAGAAAAAGCTCTAAACAACGACATTTCCTTACAAAGCCACAATTTTCTACGGAAAATCTACATATAGCATCAATGAAAATCGCGTAACCCGATTACCCCTACCGAAAGTCAGGTTACATGGGAGTAACTTACTCGTAGCTTCGATGCATCCTACACGCTCACCGTAGCCCTATCTCACCTGGGTTGCATTGCTGATCTGCTTGCCATCTCATTTCAAGGTATCTGAGTATTTCTTATCTCGTTGGCGCCCAGTATGGTTATATCGTTGGCTACCTCTTTAGACTCTTACAGCAATAACCGAAGGACTATGTTCCGTGCTCGAACGTTTCTTTTTTTCTCAACTGCGATTTACCTCCACTCCTAGTCAATATTGGAGCAAGTTTTCACTAGCAGTTTGTCGCGGGTCTGTGCCCTTGAGCTGTCAAAACGGCCGGTGCCGTTTGATAGCACAACTGATTGTCGTCAGGGAGGAAGCGTTCCGCACTTCGTCGGCTTCCTTGCTTATCACTGTGCTTGAAATGATCAATGTATTTGACTTCCCTCCTCAAGTGTATGATTTCTATGCACTGACTTCAATTGAAACGGGTCATCACAGTCAACCCAAGACTCGTTTTCGGACTGTGACTATATGACAGGAATCCAACTATGACCCTTCTAATGCATGTAGCTTTCAGCTCTTTGCGGTAAAGGTCTTCCACTTATGGATTTCGCAGGAAATATCAAGAGATGCGAAGCCGACAGAGTGCCCTGTCCAGGCTCTCACGAATGCATTGGGCGTGGAATGGAGTCAGTGTGCTGCCAGAAAGCAGGTTCGGTTTATTCAACTCAACAACGTCTCACCGTAAATGATGCATCGAAGCTTTGCTCTTGTATCGGATAATTGCCCCTGTTTCTATACCTCACGTAGAAACTTATTTCATCCAACGTGTAGATTTTGAACGCATCAGTCTCTATCAGTTTTATCAGTTCTCTATTGTCAAGCATTTGGGGATAGTGCAGCTTTATGGGATTTTTCCCTTGCCATTCATTCCAAAAGCCTCCGGCGTATTAACGCCATTGACATTTATTTTGGTTATTGTCCTGGTACCGTATACTATTCAATAAACCCAGAAGTAAATCTTCCGGACTGGTCGATCTTTACCGTTTTGTAGGCTTAATCATGGTGTTGATAAACTCCTCCTTTATAGATCGCATATGTCACGCATCGGTGCACACTGGTTCCCCGTGTGGAGCTCCACCTCAAACAAGGTTTCCCTTACACCATACTGATTATATCTCCAACATAACCGCAATGAATTCAGATACTACTACGATGCCGCGTCTAAACTCTGTCCGTTCCTTCACTTTCACTGGCTGCGGCGGCAACGAGAACAATTTCAAGACAAAAGGCGAATGCACACAGTTTTGCAGCAATGAGAGTGAGTTGGTTTGCCGAGTGTACATGTGAAATATCAACAAAACGAAAAGAGTGGAGAATGGGGTTGATGAATATTTGCGTAGAAGCGTCATGCCCTCTGCTCAGGAAATTTTGAGCGATCAAAGCTGGCAGCGTTGGTAGAACGATATTTGGCGAAACCTACCAGCAAAGGATTGTGATGGCCCTGATTACGAAGATGACATCTATACCTGGCGCAGACGACATATACATAGTACCAAGCGCTAACCTAGAATGCAAAATTTTGTCACTACGATTAATCGAACTTGGGACCATTTTGGTCGCTAACAACTTCCTTGGCAGGTTCGAAGTAGCAGTTTTGTAACTATGATCAATGGCTCGATCGATTTACCTGGATCTCAATTCAAAGTTATGTAGGAATTCGGAACACTTCCGTGGTTAGACTTCTCCGCAGCATAGAGCAAAAAGGCTCGTAATTACTGTGTGTTTCACGACTTCTTTCGTCTTTCTCCACTTGCACTCCACCTCCCATCCCTACCTCCATAATAGAGTGGGACAGCCACACCAATATAAACTTGATTCTTGCTTAAAAGCCGAAAAATCCACAAATTCTCCTTTCCAATAAGATTGAAAACGGACGGAATCGGTCGAATTTCATAAATGCGCCATTGGTCGAATTTCATTATGCCCGCCATGCCGCTGACATCAGCGACATCCAGCATCAGTGGCGGTTCCCATCTTTCTGAACAAGCTACTCTTTCTTGCTCTACTGCTGATACCGGCAACTGCGACAATTCCTCCTTCCCATAGGCCAAATACAATCCCCCGTGAAGAGACAAACACAAACTTGACCCTGGATCGCGAATTGCGACACATACTCGAGTTTCATGGTATAAACAACTTTAAAAGAATCCTCTCCGAAAATTTTTGAATTCTATTCCAACATGAATATGTCAGTTGTGATCACTAGTGATAACGCACAAAGTATGGACAGTTGTAGGTAGGTCGCACGGAGCCAAAGGCGGCGCAGGAAATGAAGTGCGTCTCGAGGAGTCACCTTATTTGGCAACACACTGAAAAGAATCCGGTCCAAGTGTTCGATTTTGGAGATTAGGGACAAAAAAATCTAAAGAATACGATGTAGTAGAAGTGTGAGATGTTTGTGCTTACAATAAACCAGAAGAGTGTATAAAATGAGCCTTGAACCGCACTTGAGAAGCGAGTGGAGCGTTCCCGTTGTCGGCATTCGTGACAGACGTACGGCGGAAACTTGAACGTGTAATAGTCCTTTCTGATTTCTCGAACTTTTTTTTTACCAAAACTAAGCTTACCAAAACAAGTACATCCTTCTGTACTTTTCGTCCTTATCGTGAACGATAGGTCTAAAACTGAGTGAAATATGTGCAATCATTTTTTTTCTGGGAAGGATTCCTTCAAAGACAGTAGCCGAAGGACGTTGCGACTTTGATGACAGTCAACGTAAGTCATCGGTATGAGTGTAAAGGCACAACTCAGGCACGGATTTGCGGGGTAAGAGCGATCGATAACGGATGTGAGTGTGCATTGTTGAATGGAAATGGAAGAAACAGCGAAAAAAAACCCGCGATGAAGCCTAAACAGGAACCTCCACTCTTCCAGTAACATCTCGCCTAGCCTTCAAGGGGAGGTGCAACCGGACGAGTTTTCCGAACTTGATATTAAATTTTTGCTATGACCATCGAATAATTTGATGAAAAATGCAAGGTTTTGCAAAATGATACAACGAAATTAATAACAATAATAGTGATTTAGATAGAAGAAATTCGGTCATAATGCTGATTTAAAGAAAAAAACAACAAAAAGGTTTTGCGCAGCGGTTGTGCGCACTGCTGAATCATCTGATCGGAATAACGCCCAACGACCCTACAAGCAACAATGTGGGCGGCCCTCATTTCATGCACACTCGCCTCGCAGCTGCGGCGAACCCCACAGCTGCGGACAAGTCGGCCCGTGCATCTCGTGCAGCTTGGCTTAGAAGACCCTAGCGCCTTTTTCGGGCGCTTTCGTTGCACGGGACTGTTACGTTCGTGATTGTCTGCTGGGGCACTACCTCACAGGACGAAGAGGACCGCTCACACGGATTCTGCCTGGGGTATCGCGTTAAAGAGACTCTTCAAAACTAAGGCCCCGTCCCTCACGGCGCTTAAGTGCTACATCCACCATACTTCTCGTGACGTCACAAACGTCGCCTGGAAACCACCTGGTTCGCCCTCAAGAACACTAGGTGACCAACAGAACTCTGAATCATTTCAGAGAAGCCAGAGTTACATGAGATCCTGTTGTAATGCAGTGCAATTTTACTTCGTGCACGCTTTCTCTCTTTCTAACCGAATCATTTCAGTTATTTGTCCACGAGGTGATCCTCACCCTGATCGATATTCAATCAATAAAATTGCAACTTGCCACGAAGACAAGCACTGTCCGAGAAACTACACATGCACTCCAGGATCGGAAAGAAAGGAGCGTGCTGTCCAAGTAAAGGTGGCGAGTGACTCCGAGTAGTGACACAATATAAAACCCCCTTGAGAGTGCCCTCTCGAAACTTCTTCTGCAGACAATTTGTTTAGCTATATCTTTTTTTAATTCTAAATTATACCTCGATGTCTACCTAGGAAGGTCTTTCAGGATGTGGCAAGAGTCTTCAAAATAGTTTTTGCATGATACTGGAACACTTGCGGAAACCACAGAACCATGGTTCATCTTTTCCTAGACGTTCCCCGGGAAACCAGAAAAGGTGTGATGAAGTGATCTGTGGTTCGATTCCCATGTGATCGGGGGACCCAAAGTTCCGTATCTTGACGGGCATTTCAAAATCAGCGCAAAATGGCGTCAGCGTGAACAATGGATATCATCTCTACGATTAAGGCCATCAGTAGCCTTTATAGTAAGTAGTCTTTGTGTCCCATTTTCTTTACATCACTTTTTTATTGTTCCCCATACTTACGTATATCCTATTTCTTATGATCATTAATCCAGACACTCACTGTATAGCCTCCATAGGGTTAACGCGAATAGAACGTTCGTCGGAGGCGGAACAACCTGTTTCTTTAGTAAGAGCTTTCATAAATTGAACTTTACTTCATTTATTTGACTGAAAAACTGGTGAAGCAAGCTGCGACACAAAGCGGCACTGAAGTAGCGCCAAGTGGTGTCATAGTGACGGATGTGCCGCGCCAAAAACGAACGTCATTCGTAATCGGGACAATAAAAAACCTTTGTAACCAAATGCTTCACAAATATGATGGGTTGTGAGTGGCACTTTCACCCCAGACAGGACTCGAACTCTTACCTCGCATGATTGACAATGGCAGACACCCAACTTGGTGATGGCCGAGAGTTCGCGCACGATGAGTGGGTAGCAAGTTCTCCTCCTTGTCAAACAGTGCCTGATGATTTCTCGACCCTGCCACCGACTAGGCCTATTGCCGTAGCTGGATCGGCCATTGAAAGCAACGTGGTGTAAGACGTGCCTCACCGAGAGAGGCGCCTTGGTTTCCGTATAAATCACTAGGACGTAATTACACCCATTTGGGAACGAGTTGTGAGTTTTAAAATCCAGCCGCGCTCACTTCGGTATACACCCCGCCCACCAATATCATTTAAAGGAACCATTGATGTGGTTCTTGCTCATGAATATGGAAATACTGGTGGAGTGAATCTGCAGAAAAAGAAGAAAAAAAACCGTTGAAAGTGCTCAAGTTAAGGACTTGTTTACCAGCGGCTGTACTAACAGACTGAGCACGGAGAGCAAAGTATGAAGGCAAGAAAATGCAGAATGGGAGAGGACAACAATGGGACAGACAACTGACTGCTGCGCGCGGCAAATGTTGCAGCGGCTGCAGCTATTTTTACAAGGCTGTTGTCATGCAGGGAAATTTCCATGCGCTAAAGTGCCACATCTGTGGTTGGGGTTCTATCTTACAGACCAAACAGAATCGTTTACACGAATTCTGCCTAGGTTGTACCATTGAGCTCGATTCGCTAACCACAAGTCATTTTTCTCGAACTCTGGGCCGCCTTGTGTACCTTACAAGGAAGGTCTTTCAGGACATGGAGCGCTTTTTCGAAATGGTTTTCTGCATATTGTAGGGGCTCATGCGAGGAACACAGAACCATGATCCATTTTTCCTGAACGCCTCCAGGAATGTCAAAACATTGTGGAAGAAATGGT